TCCAGATAGTCATAGAGATCATGTCTTGCCTCTACCCTTGCTTCCTGAGACATTGTCTCCTCCTCCTCTTCTTCCTCTTCTCTTCCTCCTCTCCTCCTCCTCCTCTCCTCCTCCTCCTCTTTTCCTTCTCCTCCTCTTTCTCTTCTCCTCTTCCTCTTCTCCTCCTCTTCCTCCTCCCCAGACCTTCACATAGCTGACTTTCTCTTGCTCACTTCTCAAGTCCAATGCCTTTTTTTTTTGTCACTCCCATCCAAAGTTCCTCTCACTTGTATTTTATTCCATTTCCCCCTTTTACTTTCTTTACCACATTTACCACTGTCTGAAGTTTATTTCGGCATTTTCTTGTTTGTTGCTAGCATTTCCCCTAGCCCTTTAGGTTCTGGGCTCAGAGATGTTTGGTGTGTTATTCACTACAGCGCTCCTTGGCATCTAGGCCAATGCCTAGCAACCATTAAGCAGTCAAATATTTGTTGAATAACTGAAGGACTAAATACAATGGGAGGTGGTGGTTACTAGTCTTAAGTTACATATGAAAAAAAGAAAAGTCAGATAATTTAATCACCTGCCTGGGACCCACAGCTTATAAGGGTAACACTAGAATTCAATACCGATCTAGCTCCATGCTGGCACCTGCACACTCTGCATACTCTTTTTAGCTTCATATATGCATCAAGACTCTTGCAACCTATACGAGTTGTTAGAAAACTCATAGAGCCAACGTTTCATCCTCTTACATGTGCATAGGTGCACAGAGGCACACAATAAAAACATAAAATTAATTAGCACAAAATTAATCACAGTCATCCAGATATTTGACTGAACAAAACAGAATAAAGACAGCAATACTCATCACTGGGTGAAAATAAACAAACAAATAAACACCAGTCTGTAGTTGAAGAATTGCACACTCATTCATTCAGTCAGTTAAATGCCTAAGATTCCAATGGATGAGGAAAACTGGACCAGGTAGGAAGAAAAATTCCATTTGACCATGTGTATCTGGAGTACTGTCTTTACTTGCAAAGGCAGAATTTCTATTTCACTTGGACCTCTATGGAACTCTGGCACTAGGAGCAATCCCATCGTAGAGATGAGAGACAAGCACTGGCAAGGTGAAGTGAACTGACTGAGTTCTCACAGCTGGGCTGGAACAAAAACCCAGAGGCGCCTTTCCCCTTCTCATCCCCTCAGCGTCACAGACTTTTGCTTTGTTTTGATGCTGGAGATCGAATACTGGGTCTCTTGCATGCTCAGTGCATGTCTGCCACTGACCTGCTTCCTTGGACTCTTCTCTTTCTTTCTTTCTTTTTCTTTCTTTCTTTCTTTTTTCTTTCCTTTCCCCTATGTCACAGTACTGAGTTTTGACCTAAGGGCCTTATACTTGCTAGCAGATGCTTTCCCACTTAAGTCAAGCCTCCAGTCCCTTCATTATTTAGTTATTTTAAGGGGAGGGGACCTTAGGCCATTTTTAGACTGCCATCGCATTATTCATGCCTCCCATTAGCTAAAATTACAGAGGCTCACCATTATAGCCACCTCATTGATTGAGAGGCTGCCCCACTAACCTTGGACCCTTACTATCCTTGAATTGTGATCCTCCTGATCCCCACTTCCTGAATAGCTGGGATTAGAGACATGTGCTGCCATGTCTAAATCCCTTGATTCTATTAAAGCACTTCACACCATTATTGGGCCACACAAAACTCTCACTGTTCTAAATGTATTCTGTGGAAATCAGTATTACCGGGGGATGGAGGGTTGTTAGATGGGTAAAATCTTGGATCCTATCCTAAACATAATATATGGCATTCTGCATCTTAGTAAAATCACTAGGTAATTCCCACACACATGGAAGCTTGACACGCGTAATCCATATTCATGAAATAATATATTAATGAACACAAGTCCAGACAGCGGAGTCATCTGTATATCTCCCAATATCTTTCTAGGGGAATTTTCTTTCTTTAAGCTTCTAGTTACATATGAACAATTCAAAGGCCCAGTAAGGGTGATAGCAATAAAGCCTAGTGTCTGCTGCCACCTGGTGGTAAAAATCTCTACCTAGGTAGAACTTGGTAGTATTGTACATGAAATAAAGGTAGAAATAGGTTGGTTGGGCTAGGTCCTCAACTTTTGTAGCCACATGATTTAAGAGACCATCTCAGTCTTTCAAAATGAAAATAAATAGTGCTTGGCATGTCCAAATAATAATTGGGCCTCTAAAAGTGCCCCACAGAACAGAGAGATTTCCAATGTGATTTCTAAATGTGATTGTCGGTTAGTGTGTGAATTTATTTTATTGCCAGTCCAAGTGGCAGTGGCTAGACAATCCAATCACTGTGTCTTTATTTGTCTTGCACTTGACACGAAGCATTCCACACAGTGCCAAGGAATTTCCCACAGTTCTGTGAAAAACATCATTAGAGACCTTTCTGAAGCCATCACGGGGCCAAGTCCATAAAAGATATGCCTAGCACCTGGAAGTGAAGAAGGAGGCGATTCTGAAATTTTCCTACATCCATCAAGTGATCCAGGACGTGATGGTCTCCCCTCCTCCCCACTGGAGGATGTTGTTTTGAAGACTTTGGCCTCTCTCATGAGTTAAAGAAATCCAACCACCATAGGTGAGACTGTCCACAATGGATCGCCTTCCTCTCTGTCTACCAGGATTCCATAAGGTGTCCTCTGGAAAAGTTGGCCAGTATGGAAGATTCCAGCAACCCAGAAAGAAAAATAGCTCATTCAAAAGGAAAGGGATTACAAGGTTGGTAATGAAACTTAATTTCTTTCTTTTTGAGTGAGAGTATTTCATTGTTTCGTTAACCACAGTTTACTGTGATAATGAGAGAAAGTGGCATTTCTTTTTAAGTTCTATCCTTAGAGATGAAGACTCTCCATGGACAAGGGGGAGAAGAGCACTGTTCTGGGTCAGGAAGCCCAATGGAAGTCATGTTTAATGAACAGAAAAGTCTTCCTTTGGGCTAGGCACTGTTGGCTCACACCTGCAATCTTAGCTACTTGGAAGGCTGAGATCTGAGGACCTAAGTTCAAAGCCAGCCCAGGCAGGACAGTTCATGACACTCTTATCTTTAACCACCAAAAAGCTGGAAGTGGAGCGATGCTCAAGTGGTAGAGTGCTAGCCTTGAGTGAAAAAGCTAAGGGACAATACCCTGGCCCTGAATTCAAATCCCAGCACCAGTGTAAGAAATTTGTAATAAAAAAATAAACCCTTTATTTTACCAGAAAAAGCTTGGATTTCCTCCAGAATTTAACTTTTAATGTGTCAGGAGACTAAAGCAAGTACTTAGTTGATATTGTCAGCATCAGCATTTGAGCTTTCTTGCATCCCATGTAAATACTGTTATTTGGAAATATCAATAGTGTTTTCTTCGAAATAAATACAGAATCCGTGCTTTCCACATCTGTGCCAGCAAGTTTGGCTGCTGAAGTGTGTACTAATTCTATTTCACTAGCAAACACTTTTTAATAAAAATAGCAGAACAGTCTTTGACCTGGTTATTTCCTGCCAACGGCTAAACCATAAAGATAGTCATTAAGACCTCCAACATAGTATATTTTAGTTTTGAAAGTCAGTGTGGTGATTTGTTTCCAATTTTAGGGGGGCTTCTCTCTTAGCAGGTCTGTGAGCTATGTAGAAGGGAAATGTTTTTCTGAAGCCTGAAGTCTCAAAGTTCTGAACTTGTATGGACAAAATGAAATATTGCAATTTTTTTAACTTTCCATCAGAAGTAAGGGTTTTGCCAAGTGCCAGTGGCTCATATCTGTAATCCCAGCTACTCAAGAAGCTAAGATCCAGAGGATCACGGTTCTAAAGCAACCCAAGCAGAAAAGTCTCCATCCCCAAAATAGTCAACCAAAATCAGGGTTAGAGGCATGGTTCAAGTGAGCACTAGCTGAGTGAGCAAGTCAGATAAGCAAGTCAGAGGCCATGCATTAAAACTCTATCACCACTATTTAAAAAAAAACTAAACAGAGAAGCAGACAAATTAATTACCAACAAAATTATTTAAAGACTTCACAAGGGAAGGAATCTTTCTACAACAGAAATCGCAACTATCCCTCGGCTCCAGAGCAAATTGCCTGAAGCAGTTCAGAGAGGGAAACACATTTTGTGGATTCACAGATTACTTAGAACTGTTTTTGTTTGGTGTTGTGTTGTTATTGTGTTTTTGACACAAGATCGCTCTATGTAACTCAGGCTGGCCTTGAACTCATGATCAACCTGTCTCAGTACTGAGATTACAGGCATGAACCACCATGCTTAGCTTAGAGTTGGTATTTTTACCTTAGGGGTTACATGGATAGGTGCTGTCCCTGAGCTTTTTTGCTCAAGGCTGGTGCTCTACAACTTGAGCCACAGCTCCATTTTCAGCTTTTTTTTTTTTTTGGTAGTTAATTGGAGATAAGAGTCTTACAGACTTTCCTGGCTTTGAACTGCAATCTTTAGATCTGAGCCTCTTAAGTAGCTAGGATTACAGACATGAACCACAAGTGCCCAGCAGGAGCTTTATGTTTGTAAAATGAGTTAATATCCTAGTTCTTTGGAGACTATGTGAAGTAAATGAAATAGTAGACACACTGCATTCATTACAGTTTAATGTAATATAACATCGACTTGGTAACTGCTTTATGACCCCACCTCCCATGGATTCTCAGTTTTTAGTTCCATTTTTGAAACTATATTATCTGTTCATATTTGAATTATAGATACTGATGTCACAAAAGTTTAACTTTCTGGTGAACTTGATACAAATTATTTTTATTTCCCTTAGATGGCACAGAGCTGTGTCTACCAACTTAGTCAATCAAAATGTGTTGGTCCCCAAAGAGGAGTCATCTGGTGAAAGTGATCCAGAATTTCAGGAAAACCAACAACATCTGAGAAAAACCTTCATGAAGAGAGTGAAGACTGCTTTGGGGAGGATGCTACCATGCAAGTGTAGAGGCAAGGCAGGGAGGACCAGCAGGGAAAGCTCACCCAGCCCGAAGGAGGCCCTCCTTCCAAACACGCACAGCCTTCTCCCCAGGATTGCCAAGGAGCATCCATCTTCCACATTATTCACCAGACCAAAGATGAGAAAGCTCTCACAGAATGGTAACCAGAGGCAATTTATCATTTGGTGTCAAGGCTGAGAAAAATAGAAAAAAACAAGGAAGGAGTCTTTTACCACCTGCTGTAGTATGGAGGCAGAATGGCCCTTAAGGCTCATGGGATTGGGAGGTAGTTGGATATTTGGAAGGTGGAGCCTATAGGGAGATCCTTAAGTTATTGGGAGTGGGCTCTAGAAGGGAATTTTGGGGACATTCCCTGCCCTGTCCTATAAACTCCTAAGACCTCTAAAGCATGAGCAAAATAAACCTTTCTTGTTTATAAGTTAGTTTTCTCAGGTATTGCATTACAGGAATGACTAAGGCTGACTAACACGATACCCACAATGTGACAATTCTGTGGAGACTGTGTAAAATACAGTCTCATGCTTCACCTCACTGTCCTGAGTCATAATTTGTATTGTAGCAAGATCCCAAGTTGACTCATACTGATGCATCAAATTAGATTGCTTTTAGGCTTCCAGTACATCCAGCTAGTTATCGATATAACTAGTCATCTAGCTGTCTAAATGTATGCATTTATATGCATGTATTTGCATAGAGGTGAGTGCATATGAACGTATCCGTAGATGCGTATTTAATTCTCTTTGCTTCGTTTCTGGAGAAAGTGATGTACTTTCCAATGGCTACTTCTCAAAGTGGAGGGTGGAGGGAGAATTAAATGAGTGAAACAGGATTGGTGAGTCATAACGAATGTGTGATTTTCCTATATATCCCTTTTAATAGACTCAGTGAAAGATTAACATTTGAACTGTTAACTTTAAGTCTTTTTCTTGCAAGTAGTAATAATACTGTTATTTGGGAATCTATGACTAGCGATATAAACACTGTTTATACTCTCTTCTGTAGCTTTTGAAGAAATTAAGCACATTTTATTTTTAGAGTAGTTTTAATTTTACAGAAAATTGAGCAGAAAATAGAGTTCATATATACTCCCTTTGTCTCCTCCACTCTTCCCCGCTTCCCTACCTAACATCCTGCCTCAGTGTGGGACATTTGCTTTAACTGTTAGGCCAATGCTGATGCATTATTATCAATCAAAGTTCATATCTTCCATTAGAATTCATTCTTTATGTTATACAGTTCTATTGGATTACACAAATGCTTCATATCATGGTGTCATAAATCTAGGATTACCACATCATAGGGAATAGTTTCTCCACCCAAAGTATCTCCTGTGGTATTTTTCAATGTCCTTTTCAGCATGGCTTCAGAAAACACACATTGTCCTGCAGCCTCACATTTCACACCATGGTCAGTCAGGCTCATACCTAGTGAGGCCAGGGCCCGGGGGTGGGGTGAGAAAGCAAAACCAAAGAAACCAAAAGCCAGTGGTTTCTAGCTGACGAGTAGCCATTTCAAACACTCTCTGCTGAGGGAGAAAAATACAGGCATACAATCATTAAGCAAATGCCTGGTACGTATTGAGCTGTATTTTTCTGTTGAAAATAACAGAAAGAATATCCTTCTGTACCACACTGAGGCTAGAGTGTGAGAGTCCAGCAGAAAGCAAAGGACTACATGTCTATGCTTTTGTAGTTGTTTTTTTTCTGCTTTTTTTTTTCTATTGTTGGTTTTTTTTTTTTTTTCTATGTTAGTTGGAATAGCAAATTTCTCATAAAGACTTCTCCAGAAAATATGCAACCCTTCAGGGTATAACTCAAACATAATTACCCTGTCTTGGTTGTGACCCAAAGATAATTTCCCTTCTTTATTGGACTCTAACATATTTTTAACCTATCTAGTAAATGTGTTGTTAAATGTCTGTTATATGCCTGTCACAGAATTAGAGGTCAAGTGACAAAGAAAACAGACAAGGTCCCTGTCTTCATGGGTTTATAGCACAGAGGACTTTCAAACGTGATACCAATAATACCTGATGCAATTATAGAGCCCTGGGGTGCTATGCAAACACATCATGGGTGCTCTTATTTCAAGGAGGGTTCAGGAAAGGCCTCTCTGAGACCTGAAGGATGACTAAGATTTAGATGAGGATAAAGCAGGGAAGAAAGGAGCATATGTTCAAATCTCAGTGTCAAGAAAGCACCAAGGCAGCATCAAGGAATGGAAATGGGGATGGGGAAGGCACTGGAGCAGAGAGCCAGGCTTGCTCTTTCTTTCTTTCTTTCTTTCCTTCCTTCCTTCCTTCCTTTCCTTCCTTCCTTCCTTTCTTTCTTTCTTCCTTTCTTTCTTTCTTTTTCTTTCTTCCTTTCTTCCTCTTCTTCCTTCCTTTCTGGTAGTACTGGGTTTGAACCCAGGGCCTCAGCACTTGTTAAACAGGTACCCTCCCACTTAAGCCATTCCTCTAGCCTTTTGCCTTCTTTATTTTCAAGGTAGGGTCTTGCTTTATGCCTAGGCTGTAATCTTCCTACTTATGTTTCCTTATGTTGCCGGAAAATGACAGATACCTGTCACCATGCCCTGTCACTGGTTGAGGTAGAGTTTTCCAAAGTTTTTTTGTCCAGGCTGGTCTTGAACCATAATCCTCAATCTCCCTTTTCCAACTAGATAGAATTACGGGCGTGATCAGTCTGGATCTCAGTTTGATTTGCATTTTTAAAGATAATTGTGGCTGGAGCCCGTGATCCATGCCTATAATCTTAGCTACTCAGGAGGCTGGGGTCTGAGGATAGATCTGAAGCCAGCCCAGGCAGGAAAGCCCATGGGACTCATTTCCAATGAACTACCCAGAAGCCAGAAGTGGAGCTGTGGCTCAAGAAGTAGAGTGCTAATCTAGCAAAAGAAGTTCAGGGACAGCTCCCAGGCCCTGAGTTCAAGCCCCAGGAATGGCACAAAAACAAAAAGATACTATGCCTCAATGCAGATATTTTAGTGGGACAAAAAGCTAAGTGGGAGCACAAAACCTTAGCTCAAGCCCCAGTATTGGCACAAATAAAATCGAATTGATCTAAAGAAAACCATCAGAGAGTCTGAAGGTTATCTGGCTCAGAGATATAGGAAAGACATTCAAGTAGTAAGTGAATAACTGAGCCTTGACCACATTTCTGGAGAACAAATTTAACTTTGCTTCAACCAATAATGAATGCTCAAAAGGACAGTTTTGTACATTCAGGGGCCCTTTTCCTAATTCCACACGGTTGAAAACAAAGCAAAAGTAAGCCTCTGAAAGAGATAACTGCTTTTTCAAAACTGGATTGATTTCAGCTGAGATCCTGGCCACCATAAAAGGTAAATGTGGGCAAGAAAAAGCATCAGATGAGGAAAAGCTGATTCTATTTTTTTTTTTTAATTTTGAATCCCAAGGACAAAAGGCATAGAGCTATCATCTTCCCAGACTCCTTCCAAGTGTCTGAAACTGTGATGCTCACATGATGTCTCTTCCTTCTTTTTCTTCTCTTCTCCCCTTTTCCTAAGCAACTATTCAGCTGGATGTGGTGGAAGCAGAGGCAGAGGAGATAAGTGGAGGAAGTACCCTCCTCCGGGCTCGAAGAACCACCAAGCGGTTATCCGTGACATCTCTCCCTCCAGGATTGCAAAAGGTAAAAAGGCCTACACATGTCAGTGTGTCAGTGTTTAGGGATTTTTGTAAAAACCAAGTTCTCTACTACCTTAAGTCCTTCATGTTAAAATTTTAAATGTGCTGTGGTGTCTTTCCCCTAGAATTTAGGACACAGAACAGGAGCTTTCCTGGTCAGATCCTTCTTATTCTGAGCTCAGAGCACTTAGCTTTTACTACAAGCTGGGCAACAATGGAGCTTGCAGCTTTAAAGTGACTCGCTCAATTATTCAAATATCAAGTTCACATATTAGCAACCTGGCCTGTCTGTCTAGGCTGTAAGAAGAGGAATTCGCAGGACTAATAAAGCAGCCATTTGTTACACGTGGTTTGTGAGACTGAAGAGTGGCCAGGGAAACTGGGGAAGTGAATGTTTTTAAATTTAATGCACATTAAAATGGAATTTAAATAGATGCATATCAGCATAAGGAGTAACAGGCTGATTGATCCAGTATGCCCTGGATTTACTTATCAGAAGGATGAACCTAATTTTCTAAGACTAATTTCATTTAAAATGATGTCGTAGTAGGAAAACTAGATTTCTTTTTTGAGGGGGGAGTTTTACTGTTATCATGGGTGATTTCAAATTCCTGGGTATAATCTTGCCTTTGCCTCCTGAATAGCTGAGACTACAGCTGTGCAGTGCCATGGCCAGCTGCCAGACAACATGCTGCTGTTGTGTTGTCGTTTTTAAGTCAAACTCTAAGCTATTATTACTACTCTCTTATATATGTGACAAGCTCTTAAAGTTGACACTATGTGCTAGGCTCTTTTCTTACAAATATGAACACAGATAAATCTTACAACAGTGCTGGAAGGTAGAAAAATTGTCTTTATTGTAGTAACAACATTTAATTTTTCCAGATGATTAGAAGAGCCAAGTTTCTCACCAGGAAGATTTTATTCCTTCTTTTTCTTTCTCTCTCCTTCCTTCTCCTATTCTTTGTGGGGGGTGATGGTGGTGTTGGGATTGAACCCAAGGTCAAGCACATAGCAAGGATTCCGTCGATAAACTAGATCCTGCAATTCTGGTTACTAATTACTATGCTTTGTATTAATTATACTGTTCAATTGTTCTGTTCAGTATGGGTGGCCAATAGCCACATGTGATGAAATTAATTGAAATTTTGAAAATCCACTTCCAGACCTGGGCTCGGGTGGCTCACTCCTGTAATCCTAGCCACTCAAGAGGAGTATCAACTCAGGAGTAGCTAAGATTTGAGATTTGAGTTCAAAGCCAGCCAAGGCAGGAGAGTCTGTAAGACTGTCATCTCCAAATGCTTGAATGGAATGGTAACTCAAGTGGAATGGTAACTCAAGTGGTAGAGCACTAGCCCTGCAAACACTCAGGGACAGTGCTCAGGCCCTACATTTAAAGCTCTAGTATTGGCACACACAAAAATAAAGTCTACTTCCTCAGTCACACTAACTACATTTCAAGTGTTCAATAACAATCACACATAGCTAGTGGCTTTTGTATTAAGCAGCACAGATAGGCAAGATCTCTACCTTTGCAGAGGGATCTACCAAATAGTGCTCACAGCATCACTGGCAGATAGCACTAGAATCAGGTTCACATTTTCCTTCATGTACGAGATTCTTATCACACCCCTATCATGATCTGAGTGATTTCTAGGTTTGGGAGCCCCAAGAGTGATCTAATGGACATTTTCTTTTGAAACTTATGGCAAAGGAGAAATACATTAAGCCATGGTACTACAGAACAGTAGGGTAAGGTTAATCTTTGGAAAAGCCAGTAGCCATCCAGATGGGGAAAATGGAATTTGATCCCTGTCATTATAGCCAACAATTAATTCTTGTTGGGTTTTAAGTAGGAAAGGCAAAAATCTTAACACTTCTGGGGTACAGGAACAGTATTTTCATGATTACATGACAGGGAAGGAATTTTCAGTATGTGAATAGCACTTACCATAGAAGATAAAAATGGATCAATTTGGGTGTACTTAAAACTGAGCATTGAAAGACAGAATCAGAAGGTGTTCACTATGGTGTCCACTATCTATAGAAGAGTTTTGTTTATCCCACAGTGTTCTCAACATTGTATTCAAATTAGCTGCTCATACTGTAAAATTAGGGTATTTCAAATAAAACTCTAGGAGCTAACTTCATCCTGGAGAAATAGGAAAAATTTGAGATTTTTGAGGGTAAACAGTACAGACTGCAAAGAGATACACCTGTGTAGGACACATGTTTTCTCCAGACCAAAGTTCCACAAGTAGTCCTGTCTACAAAACTTGCCTTAACACTGGATTTTGTAAGTCATATCAAACTCAGAAATAACTTAGTGACTACCAAGTGGAGGATGAAGTCCTAGTATTGAGAGAAAAGTAGAGTAATAGAAGAGCATGGTAGTATATGCCTGTAATCTCAGCACTTAGAAGATAGGGCAGAATTGTAAGGCTTTTATATTCCTTCTTTCTCTTCCCTCCCCCCTCCCCTTTATTTTCTTTATGGTACTGAGGTTTGAACTTAACGCCTTGCACTTAGTATGCAAGTGTTCTACCATCCAAATCATGTCTAAAGTCTTTCTTTCTTTTGCTTCTTATTTTTCAGGTAGTATTTTGTTTTTGCCTGAGTTAGCCTTAGACAAGAGGTCTCCTTGGAAATTATACTCAGTTTATTAAGATGGAGTATCACTAACTTTTGGCCCAAGTTGGCCTCAGGCCATCATGCTCCAATCTCAAAGTATGAGTTACCATGTCCAGCCTTAAGAGGACTCCAAGTGTAAGAACTATACAATGAGACCAAGAAACAAAAACAACTAAAAATTAAGCACAAATAAAAAAGACAGGAACAAATTGGAGTCTTACTTTAGATAGATGAAGGAAGGCTCTGAAAATGTCACTCAGACAGAGCAAGCTGGCAGCACAGGTGGTAGTTTATTTCTAAGCATTCTCCTCAGGCAAAGGATAAAATCCAAACATGGTCTACCATCTTGCTCTGTGTAGATTTCAGAATTACCCCAGTGCTAATTATTAAGCACCAGGAGAAGGAAGGATAAACTCGCTAAGTCTAAAATGGCATACTAGCTCAGAGCCAAGACTTGGAATGGTCTCCAGAAGCAACTGTTAGGATTGGTAATTGCAGCCAGTAAGCCAGGGACAATGGGAAAAGTGTCAGGCATAGGGCAAAAAGAGAATCCAGTGCTTGTGTTTATGTTCAGAAACATGATACCCATGAAAATAAGGAAACCTGCAGAAACAAGAGCAAATTAACAACTGGATCTAGTGATAATGAGCTTTCTGGGGCACTGGTCCACAACAGCTCCACATTCTCCCTGTGCTCAGTATCTACACAGTAATTTCTTCCTCTCCTTACGAATGACCTATTTTTTAATCCTGACTCTATATATTCCTTCAGAGCCAATCTCATTTCTCTGCACCCTATGAATCTCTTCAAAGAGAGCTTGGGGCACAAAGGAGATACATGAGGCATGTGAATAAGACTCCAAGCCAGTGTTGCTATGTGGCAAGTGATCACTTTGGAAAAGAATGTCCAAAGGGTAACAATTCTTATTTTGTGTCATCACAAAAATAACATTGGTATTTCCTAATATGGTATACTTTTGCATTTTTACAATAGGCACCATATTCATCAAAAAAGAGACCACACTTTCCAGCATTAAAAAGAAAGAAACGTGGCATGGAACACATCCTCCCCAAATCAGATTTGACAGTACGAAAGCTTCAAATGCAGGTAGTGGATGAAAACTTTTCCTAAGCATCAAGCTTCAGTCCTAACTGAACATACAGCCCTGCCAGAGAGCATGAATAAGGAACATAATTAACAGCCAGCATTAAGAAGTAATGTTAGTAGTGGGGTGCATCCTGAGAGGCTAAGGAATGGCTAAGAGCATGTAGGACTATGCTGTGTACCTAATAAATATTAAGTGGATTGCATTAAAATGAAGGAATACACATGGGCTTTTCCTTTGAGAAGAAATGAGATTGTCTTTACCACTAGGTGGTAAATGCATATTTTCAAGCTCTGTTTGCTATGACTTTAAGTAGAATAATGCTTTGGGACTTGTAAAATATCCATCAATTCCTGAACTCATCTCTCAGGAAAAGCAGCTATAACTTTGGTTTTGCAACCCATGGCTTCATTTCTTTGCATCTGTCAATAGGTGGATGATCTCATAGAAGCAGTGACTGATAAATCCATGAAGCTTCTGGCACAAAGATATGCAGAGCTCCAACAGTGTGAGTTTCTAGGGGATGAAATTCTTCAGTCTTCTAAGCAGTTTCAGAGGATATCCAAGAGAACCATGAGGAAGTACAAACTGAAAAGTGTCTGTTTCCCATGTACCTGCTGCTGCTTCTGATTTTGTTCCTCTCTTCATAAAAATTCCCTGTAGGGATTCTTCTCTTGGTGCAGTCCTGAATAAATCTCTGTAGCGAATTAATCAATGAAGGAGTACATTTTAAAACAACATTTTACCCAATAATTCTTTATTTAAAAAAGAGAGCTTTTGTGGGGGGGGAGCTTTTTTTTTTTAACTTTGAGACTATAGAAGCAAATTATACTTTATAATCCTTATTATAAATGGAAAATAAAAACCATTTAAAGAGTATAACAATTCTCTAAAGAAATTTCTCCAATGACTTGTTAGATGAAGTTAGAGAAAGTACTTAAAAATGTCATAACACTTTTAATATGACTACTACTGAGCTAATTTTAAATTTTTATCTTGAAAGAGAAAAGTTCTTATCAAAATTACAAAAATGTTGGGCTGGGAGGGTGGCTCAGTGGTAGAGCACTTGCCTTGCACGCATGAGGCCCTGGGTTCGATTCCTCAGCACCACATACGCAAAAGGAAAAAAGCTGGAAGTGGCGCTGTGGCTCAAGTGGTACAGCGCTAGCCTTGAGCTGAAGAGCTGAGGGATAGCGCCCAGGCCCAGCGTTCACTACTGGACCAAAAAAAAAAATTACAAAAATGTAACATTATTAAGATATGACTCATGCAAAGCATCATGTATCTGATTTAACATCAGATCAGATTTCTGGATTCTATGATTTTAAGGATGGAATCTAAGGATTACACACATCATTCAGCACTTAAGGAAATTATGAGAGATTTAACCTTAGTTTTTATGAATGATTATGATAACCTTCATGTGAGACCATTTTAAGTTATTTCCCTCAAAAAATTCTTCATTTTCTTAGTATATTTTTCTACTGAAAATGAATCCTAAAAAACAAAACAGTAAAATGAAATCATATAACAGAACACTGAACAATCACATTCCTTGAGTAATAAATGCTAAAGCAATGTGGATGGATTTACCTCTTATGCCAGCAATCTTAACATGTAACTTTCCTCCATGATGAACAGACACCATAAATATTGTTCTCATAATATGAAAAGCTCATGCCACACCTGGAACCTATTCATGGACTTCATTTTCTCATATACACACTAGAAATGCATCTTTCTCAGTCTTCAACTTATTTTATAAGACAGTGATGTTACCTGTTAAAAACTACCTAGAATACCCAATGAATACACACATCAGCTTGAAAACGTTTTATTAAACATTTTAGGTGTTATTTCCTATTTTTAAAGAATAAAAAATTTCAATAAAACAAATGTACATTACAGTTAGTTTCTGTGTGAAGAAAGCTGAATGAACTGTGCATCAATATTGAAAAATACAGTATTTCACTGCCAAAACTTAACCTGCCTCAAAGAGCATTACAAATTCTGAACACACCAAGACCATGTAGTTGCTATAATTTCATTGGGAATGGTGAGCTATAGCCTATCTAGGGCTTAGGGTCTGTTTTGGTGCCTGCTTCTATCTCGCAGAACTTTTCATCATCTGTAATTGAGAAAGAAACATAAAACCTTAGTTAACTTGGCATAAACTTTATGTTTAGTGCACATGTAAAAATATTTTTATCTTTTATTAGCCAACACATTTCAAGTGAAGATGGCAAAATGGCAGGCTGTACCTGCAAATGGTCCACATAAATGCTTGGTTTAAAAAATACTATTTTGATTGCTTATTAACTGAAGCAAAATTCAAGGTTGGTGTGCTAACTTCACTGAAAAAAAACAAAATTGATGGCTGGTGTTAGTGGCTCAGGCCAGTAATCCTAGCTACTCAGGAGGCTAAGATCTGAGGATTGTGGTTCCAAGCCAGCCTAGGCTGGAAAGTCTATGAGACTCTTATCTCCAATAAAATACCAGAAAACCAGAAGTGGCACTGTGGCTCAAGTGGTAGTGAGCTTGATCTGAAGAGCTGAGGGACAGTGCACAGGCCCAGAGTTCAAGCCCCATGACTGACAAAAATAATAAATAATTAAATAAATAAATCTATCTTGGGTTGTTTCTAAAAACAATCAGAAAGCAGGTAGCAGAAGAATTTCCACTTAGCTAATAGTAAGAAGAACAAATCCTGAGTTAGTTCTAAGCACCTACGATCCACTGGGTATCACATTCTTTCTATGAACTGATCATTTAGCATTTTCTGTCTGGATCCTAAACCATTACCTCAAGTCATAAACTATAGAAACAAGTAAAAAATGTCCTATTTATTATCCTCAAATCTTAAACTACTAGATATGTAATTACTTTACATATTATTACGTAATGATTCATTAGCATATATTTAGAAAGGTGAACAAGTGAGTGCTTTTTAATGTAAGCCAGCTACACTTCTATTTAGAAATTGAAGGCACAGTCTCTCTCCAAGATGTATATTCCACAAGGCACAGTCCTTAATCATTCAAAACTCTACATGAAGCTAGTTGCTAGTGGCTTGCATCTGTAATCCTAGCTATGCAGGAGGCTCAGATCTAAGGATAGTGGTTCAAATCCAGTCCAGGCAAAAAAAGCCCATGAAACTTTTTTTTTAAATAGGTCGTGGAGCTTGAACTCTGGGCCTGGGCATTTTCCCTGTGCTCTTTACCTTAAGGCGAGTGCTTTACCACTTGACCCACAGAATCACTTCTGGTTTTCTAGTGGTTTATTGGAGGTAAGAGTCTCACGGAGTTTCCTGCCTGGGCTGGCTTTGACTGTGATCCTCAGATTTCAGCCTCCTGAGTAGCTAGGATTATAGACGTGAGCCACCGGCGTTTGGTTCCATAAGACTTTTATCTCCAATTAACTACCAAAAATGCCAGAAGAGCTATAGCTCAAGTGGTAGAATGCTACACTTGAGCAGAAGAAGCTCAGGGACAGTGCCCAGGCCCTGAAAACAAACAAACAAAAAACCTACCCAAACTCTTCATGAATGAATATTCATTCTGAGACAATTTCTACTTACTTTCCAGTGTTTGCTGAAGTTCATGAATAGTGTTAAGAAGAACATAAAATTGCTTCCGTCTCAAATCCAGCTGTAGGTAACAAGAGAAAAATTCATGTAAGTTGATCTATAAACACATATACATTCAAAACAAAGGCTATAAATGAACCTACCTTATCTTCAATATTTTCTTTAATATGTGAAAGATGTTCTAATTCTTTTCCCAGAATTTCTAGCTCCCTGAAAAAAAAGATAACTGCTAAAGTTGTCTGCTTGGGGAAGAGAATATATAATTAACACAAATCTAATAGTATTTTAATACTAAAAGGCAAATATGAAATTAGGACATTCCACTATTGTCAGCCTTTTAAAGCTGAAGATGATTTCTAATTCCTAGATATGTACTATTTTCATTAAAAGTACAGTTTTAGATAACAGATTTTAAGTAAGGAAAACAAAGAAACTGAACAACCAAACTAAAGAAGTGGCCTCCTGTGTCACGCTGCCCTCAAGTCTTTATTTTTGTAACAGAAATCACATTGCTGGTTTACTGACTTTAGCCCAGCCCAATCTTCTATCCCTTTTCCTCCTCTATCTCCCACTCAGGATCATTCAGCCAACTCTTTGTTAACATATACATTTGTATCTCTTAATAATACATAGTATTAATATATAATACTTAGAGAGAGGCTTATAACTTTTATAAATGGTTACTCTTCTGAATGTATTTCAGAAATGATTTAAAATTCATTACATGTGTTTTTTCCCCACTGACTATATTTTGGAATCTGTGTTTTAGAAATATATACCTAATCTGTATTTTGTTTTTATCTTATTATCTTGGTAGTACTATTTTTTTTTTTTTTTTTTTTTTAATTTGGAGCTTCTACTTGCTAAAGGAATGTTCTACCACGAACCACATCTCCAGTCATTTTTACTTTAGTTATTTTTCAAACAGTCTCACATTTTTGTCCAGGATGGGCTTCAGATCATGATCCTTTCTACCTATTCTTCTTACATACTTATTGGTTGAGATGGGGTCTAGGTAATATTTTGCCAGGGCTTGCCTTGATTGATAATCCTGCCAATCTCCACTTCTTAAACCGCTTGGATTGAACCACTGCTATTTAATATTCTACTATAGAAACAGAATATATTCCATTTATCCATTTTGCTATTGAAGCATCCTCTGTGCGTGTATTTTAGACCTACAAGTAGTAAACTTGGAAGAAGAAAAGGATTTAACCAAGCTGTATTAGAATGTATAGTTTTGAAACTGTGACCCTTCCTTTTGATAGGCTTTACATATTTCTATTGAAATGAAAAGCATAGGCTAGTTCTTAAAAGCTCTAATCTTACTTTAATGTCTCATGTCTATCTGGATGATGTTGAATCACTTTTGCCAAAGCATCATATTCTGAAAGACATAAAAATGTTTACCAAATTAAAGATTTCTTTTGAACCATCAAAGCAAATCCTATTTATTTTCCTAGTACATAAGGAAGTGTAAATGATATGTTATAATGAAGTACTCCAGACAGGGAGTTTTTGCTCCATTCCTATTTTTTTCATTGATACACTCTGAACAGAACATAATAGGTCAGCATAGGCATAAATGGTTATTAAGTAGACTGACAAGGATCTTAAGACACAATGTGCCCAAAAACTAATAGTAATTACTAAAAAATAATGATCAGCTTGGTGCTGGCAGCTCACACCTATAATCCTAACTACTTAGGAAGCTGAGATCTGAGGATCACGGTTCAAAGCCAGCCTGGGCATAAAAGTCAATGAGACTCTTATGTCCAATTAAAATCACAGAAAAAGCCAGAAGGGGTGCTGTAGCTCAAGTGGTAAAGTGCTAGGCTTGAGCAAAAAATGTTTAGGAGGACAGTGCTCAGGCCCAGGACTGGCAAAAAATAAAGTAATGATCAGTACAGAAACACCCTACTGTTAATTCCAGACCTTAATCAACAGAACTTCTCATTTATTCTAAAGGAAAATATTTCAGAAACTGTAAAATAACTTAAGGTTCAGGACATTGTTTCTGTACCATTGAAACCTCCAAGATGAAGTCATGTGACTCCTTAACCTTTTTAAAGAAATGATAAATGATAAAATCACTTAACAGCTTCCTAATATATGAAAACACTGTTTAATTTATAAGTTGATACATCTTGCCATAATTGCACTGCATAAACTGAATAAAGTTTCTCTTTTAAAAAGAGAAAATTGTTGGGCACTAATGACTCATGTCTGTAATCCTAGCTACTCAGGAGCTTGAGATCTGAGGATCATGTTATAAAGACAACCTAGGCAGGAAAGTCTGTGAGACTCTTATTACCAATTAGCTACCAAAAAAGCTGGAAGTAGAACTGTGGCTCAAGTGGTAGAGTCCTAGCCTTGAGCAAAAAAGCTCAGGGACAGTCCAGGCCTTGAGTTCAAATCCCAGGACCAACAAAAATAAAACACCTTTTTTAATTAAAAAGAGAAAATAGAACTGTACCTTAATTATCTCTCTAAAATGTGAGGTTCAGTGTTCTGGATCTCATTGACTTTAATTTTTTTTTTTTTGCATTACACAAAATATGCTTGTTATAAAACAAAATTGAAAAGCGTAGCCATAAGAACTCCCAACCACTAAATAATCAGTAACTTTTCTATTTCCTTCTAGTTTTTCATATATATTATCACAGTTATTACTAAACACTTTCTTATATTTCTTTTTCCTAACTACATTAAGGAGAACTAATGCTCTTATAATTAAAAATCACTTCAGATATTTTTAGGAATTAGGCAATGGCTTACCTTACCAATAGAAGAGATTAGAACAAAACTAAATTCTAACCTTTTTTAAATTAATTAGGCAGTCTAAATCTTTGTTTCATATTTAATAAAAATTGCTGAAGTTTAGATTCTTCAAAAAAAAGTATCTCTAATCAACAACTAAAACTCCAAAACTAGATACTCATATAAATCACCTTTGCTCATGAACTGTAACATCATGTAGACAAAAGGGGCTGATGAGTATAAAAATTTAATACTAAGAAATACTTGGATAATAATACAACTCAGCAAAAACAATAAATAAAAGAAAATTCAGCATAGCCTTCCTTCTCCTATTTTAAAGAATATAGGGTAAGAATTAAATATGGCTCCCAATTCTTTTTTATAAATTAAATTAATCCTGGCTGCAGATTTGGCTTCACAGCAGTTAAAGCTGCATGAAAATAGTCAGTAATAAAGAATCTGCACACTAAACTAACCTCAAAATCCTTACCTTGGCGATTTTTTCGTATTCGTTTTGCTTGAAGAATCTGCTTTTTGCACTCAGCAATTTTTTCATGTGCTCCAGCAATGCTACTCTCTACAAAAAAAAACCCAGAATTTTAGAAAGTTATAATACCATGTATAATAATCCATTCATTTTTAATTTTAAAATGTGTTTCTAATTTAATGTTTCATTGCTAACAGACCTGCGTTTAAAAATAGCTACAACCCAAAGCAGTATATATATTAGAGTATATATTCTTTGTAACTAACATTTACTGTATTCTTTTAATTAACATTGTAACTACTATTATTCTTTTGTCACTAGCCAGAGAAAATTGGTAGCATGTTTTTCCTTTAGGCTAATAAAATTATAGAAACACTAAATACTTTTGTTTCTTTACCTATTTCTTTGTAAATTTTTTCATAATTTTCCATTTCTCTGAGATTCATATCATATACCAGCAGAGTTTTGCCCATTGAAAATTCACATTGAGACAGGGTGCTAAGCATACGTTGGTACTGGCTATATCTAATGAAAGAGAGACAGAAGATGTTAGTGGACTGCTAAGGTTGAACTACTATAATTCAGGCAAAGATTTGCTAACTAAATTTTACCAAATCCTGAGAGACTCATTTGTTATGTTTAAAATAACTTAGAATATCTGCTCCTGTTTTCTTTATCTAAATATGGTACACATGACTTTATAAACTGCTTCAGTTACAAATGCAAGGTAAGACTATTGTTCTTATAAATAGTTTAAACAACTATTTGAACTGTTTCAATCACTTAAAAATCTTTTGATTATAAGGGTTACTGACCATAATTTTGTCCTCACAAGTATTTCACTCTGTATGAAACAGTTTATGTGGAAAGTGAAGTCACATAAGGAAAAATTTCTTTGTGAAAATTCCCTACCTGAAAAATAGCTAAGACAAACAACAACAAAAATTGGCTGGGGATCTGGTTCAAGAGGTAGAGTGCCTTTCTAGTACGTACTGAGGTCAAACTCAAGTACCACCTCCTCATACAGTCACACACACGCACACACACACACACACACACACACACACACACACACACACACACACACACACACACACACACACACACACACACACACACACACACAGAGGCACATGCACACCTTATCCTGGTCTGGTGGCACATGCTTGTAATCCCAGCACTCTACAGACTGAGGAAGGCTGGAAAACTGAGTTCTAGGGAAGCCTGGTATAAAGAGCAAGATCCTGAACCCCCTCCCACAACAAAACAAAAGAATAAAATCTACTTTTGACTTTTCAACAGGTATTTCCATTGGACATTTCAATAGTGAAATACTAACAAGACTAATAAAATCACATCTACACTGGTATAGAAACACTGGTATGAAATGAAATACCCCTCTTCTTGGGATCCAGAGTTGCACCACTTAATGAAACTTTTCACTAGCAAATTAATCCTCCGATCATCACCAGCGCCATCTCCATCAATTAAGAGTCGCTTCCGTATGACTTCATCTGGAGAAAAGAAAGGTAATGCCTGTTTAAATGATCATCTGGCCCTTAGGAACTTCCCAAAACAAGTAAACAGTATCACTTTTCACTTGTCCATTTAAAATAAAGCTATTGATATGTACAACACTGAAATGTACACATCAAATGGCTAGTTAAAACAGTCCTGGCACCAGTGGCTATTTTAATCCTAGCTACTTAGGAGGATGAGATCTGAGGATCACCTTTCAAAGCCAGCCCAGGCAGAAAAATCCATAATAGTTTATCTCCAATAAACTACTCAGAAAAAGCCAAAAGTGGCACTTTGGCTCAAGCGGTAGAATGCTCTGCTAGCCTTGAGGACACAGAGGCTCAGTGACAACATCCTCAAGTTCAAGCCCCAGAATTGGCAAAAAACAAAAACAAAACACCAAAAAAACCCAGGAAATTTTGTTATGCATTCCTTATCATATTAAAATACATATATATGTACTTTAAAGAGAAAATGATTGTCTGTCATGGTCATGAAATGTTCTTGGAGCTGATTATAGGTGAAAAGCCATGCGCTTGGAGTTGGAAGATTACTGGGTTGAGAGGAAACAATTTTCATACAATCGAGAAACAAAGATGATAATTCTTAGAAAACCTCTTTTGAAAACAAGTTGTCCAGACTGATGGAGTTCAGTAACATGTCTCTGGCTAGAAAGAAACGCTGGTAAGAGCAATAGAGAAATGAATATTTCAAACGTGAAATGGTAGACTAGGAAGAGTATGAGATAGATCAGGGAAAGATCTGTGAGGATTTAAAACAAAAACAACAACAAAAAGAACATTTTATTTATGCCCCAAAGGAACAGAAAAGGCAGTGTAATGTATCTTATACTCATAAACTGACATGTTAAATGATAACCCTTGTGAACTTAAAGACAATAAAAATAAAAAATAAAAAAAGCAGTGTAGTTCACAATTAACACAGGCAAGTCTCAACTACTAGGCCTGGCAATCCTGAGTATTTTGTGTGTGTGTGTGTGTGTGTGTGTGTGAGAGAGAGAAAGAGAGAGAGTACTGGGGCTTGAACTCAGGGCCTCTTGCTTGCTGTTTTGCTCAGGACTATTGCTTTACCACTTGAACCAAACCTCTAATTTCAGCTCCTACATAGTTAATTGGAGACAATTGTTTGGAGGGTTCTGGGTCTGGGCTAGCTTTGAATCCCAGTCTTTAGAACTCAGACTCCTGACTAGCTAGATTTATAGGCATGAGCCACTAGCACCTGGCCTCAGCTAATATTCTTACTTAAAATAATGATCATGACAAAGAAAGGTAAATAAACTAGCATTTTTCATCTATCAGACTGACAAAGATGCAACCCTGATAATTAAATTGTAGGCAAGGGTATTGGGAAACTATGTTTACATAAACTATGAATGTTTTTATGGCCCTGGGCATAATAGACAAAACTATAAATGCATACACTTTTCCGACCCTGTATTTCTAAGTCTAGGAATTTATTCCCTTGTTGCATCTGTGCCTATGCACAAAAACACATGATGTTTTCTTAGTGTTGTTGTTTGTAGTACAAAGAATAAAACCTAATTATTAAGAGACTGGTTAAGGTGGCTGCCAGTGACTCACACCTATAATCCTAGCTACTCAGGAGGCTGAGATCTAGGATCATGGTTCAAAGCCAGCCCAGGCAGAAAATCTGTGAGCCTCTTATCTCCAGTAAAAAAAGCTGGAAGTGGCTGAAGTGTTAAAGTGCTAGCCTTGAGCAAAAGGAGCTCAAGGGCAGCACCCAGGCCCAGCCTAAGGACTGGCAAAAAAAATAAAAAAAAAAAGACTGGTTAAATGATGAAACATTAATACAATGTAACTCATGCAGCCACATAAATAGTGTAGGTATCGATATGGATGCCAAAATCATGTTCTTGGGTGTATTAAGTAGGAGAAAAACTATGTTTAGCTATGTTGCAGAAAAGGGAGGATATGAGTGGCTAGATAATACGTTCAGGAATACTGGAAGTGATGATAGTGGTTGTTTTTGGTAACAAAGACTAATGTAATTTTCTTATACACCATTTCACAGGGTTTTTTTGGGGGGAGGTGTTTTCTATTTTGAACAAATGCAATGTTTTTTAAGACAAATTTTTAAGGTGTAAATAATTTCTGGAGTCCCTGGATGATGTCTCAACAGTAGTCTTTAAACAACAGCTCCTATGTGTAGGTGGACATAGTTTTGAGCACAGCAAAGTGGAGATAAACTGTGGAAGGAAGATGGTTCCAGTGTTAAAATATAATCTGTGAAAACACCATACATACACTTTTAGAATAAGCTATGACTGTCAGTCATTGTTCTGAAAGACTTCTCAAGCTACAGATCCTTCATTTGTTCTAATGTTACATTAAAAAAAACTAGTGTTTTCAGTTTTTAACTACCAACAATATTGTAAGAAATTGAGATAAGCAAAACCAGTCTTTGAAGAGATCAAAATATGAGAAAATATATTTTTGCTTCAACTTCCTAAACAGAAAAAAATTAAAAATATCCACCAGGTGAGGCAATCAGGTAATGGTTCAAAATAATACTGTTCAATAATCCCTTTGCTCCTGTTTCTTCTCAAGTCCCCCCAAATATCCCGGTCTTCTTCCAGATGCCTGAACTTCCATTTGAGACTGGAGATTTCCAATACATGTGCATTCAGAAACAGGTAAATAATATTTGAGTGCCTTAATGGGGAGACTATCACTGCACCCCAATTTTCAACTGGAAACTAAAATATTTAAAACACACTTTGTGATCATTCCCGTTGTGTATTTCAAGATCTGGCACCTTTATATATGATGGTACTATTCCAATTAGAAACAATTATGAAAATATTTAGAACACTGTACAAGCCAAACCAAATATACTCTTATTTCTGATTTCCCTACTAAAGTGTTAGACAGTACTGTTTCAACCTATGTCTTACACATTCAGGGATTATTTATTTATTTATTTTGTATTGGGGATTGAACTCAGGGCCTCATACTTGCTAAGCTAGCACTTCTCATTGAGCCACAACTGTATCCCTGTTTCTTACTGGCCACTTTTGAGATAGTGTCTTACTTCCTGTCTAGGCATGTACCTGGATGAGCTCCAACTAAGTTAGGCCTCTTGTAGTAGCCTGTATAACAAGTGAATGCCACTGGGCCTAGCACTCACTTGAGAATAGGCCTTGAGAACCTCTCTATCCAGGACTGCCTTGAACAGTGATCCTCCCAATTTTAGGCTTGCAAGTTTCTAGCATTACAAGCATGAGCCACTGGCACTGGGCTCAATAAATATTTCTAACTTGGATTTGAGGTACCTGCATAGAACAATCAGCTTTCTAAAAAACCTAGTCTCAAAAACATTCCCAAGGGCTATCAGGCAACTAATTTTCATTTCCACAGTAGTAATTATTCTACTTGTACAAGAGATGGGAATATCTTATCAATGAGCAGATGCATCCAAAGGAATAAGAGTAAAAGCTGAGGATATAAATAAAGAATGAAGCTTGTCTGTTCTCACTAGAGAAAGAACATCAACATGAACACATATATTTAAAGAAAGCTACAGGGTTGAGTGATTTATACACATTAGAAATTAGGATTAAAGCTCCCTTTGGTTTAGGGGCACTCAGACAAGGCAGAATTTGAACTGCTGTTTGGATTTTTAAATTATCAATCAAAAAAATAGGTGAGGGCATTTTACCAGTATCTATCTAAATTCCAAGTAATATAGTTTTTGTCTCAGAAATCCCAGATATAGTTGTACTTAAGAAACAAGACAGCAGGTATGTACACTGGAGCATTATAATAATAATGAAGCAACATTCAAATATTGGATGCTTAGTGGCTAATGTCTGTAATCCTAGCTACTAAAGAGATGAGATCTGAGGATCAAAGTTCAAAACCAGCCTAGAGAAATGAGGCTATAAGACTATCTCTACCTAACTAACCAAATGCTGGAGATGTGGTTCAAGTGGTAGAGCACAATCTGTGCACACAAAAGTCAAGTGAGACCATGAGATCCTTCTGAGTTCAAGCCCTGGTAGCTGCGCGCGCGCACGCAAGCACACACACACACATATACACACACACTCCAAAACAAAAAAAAAACAACCCACAATGTACATCAATAGGGAAACAAATTAAATTAAGCAAATTTTGTTATAAAACATGATAAAGTACTATGAAGCTGTAAGAAAAAAACAGAATGAAAAATTACTCTGATAATGCAAAGTAACACTGTAAGGTCCACAAGAACAGTATTACAGTATGCTTCTGTCCAAATAAAAATGAAAGGTGGTAGGTACATTTACATTTGTACAGATACCCTGGAAAGATAAACACAAAACTAATAAAAAGGAGTTACCAAGAAATAGGATAGTTTGAGTGGATGGGAGACAGGCTAGAAGACAGAATATATTTTTATGTTATATGGCTTAAAACATACATATATATATATATCTTTATTGTTATTGCAAAGGTGATATACAGGAGAGTTAAAGTCTGACATAAGTCAGACTGTTCTATGACTTTTAAACCTGAGGAGTATTCAAAATTTGCTGGCGGTGGTGCTGTGGTTACTTACAAAAGAAAACATGCAGATGTCCTCTCCCTTTCTTTACCCCTGGAAGGAACAAAGTTTTGAGCTAGAGCAGAAGTTGGGAATGGAGCTGGATCTGAGAACACTAGAACACCAGGAAAGACAGATAGCAAGATCCAGGGATAGCTGTAGGTAAGAGACTCAGGGACTTTTCTTCCCAGGCTGGCTTCAAACCATTATCTTCAGATCTCAGTTTCCTGGGTAACTAAAATTGGAGTGTGGACCACTGATACTGGGCTTAGTTTTGAGTAATTATTAAATCAAATAAAAGCATATTTTTAAGAAACAAAACAAAACTCCAGGGTCAGATTGCAGGAGTCCATACTACTAGATACATGATCTGTTCATAGGCAACTCAGAGCAGTTAAGATTCATGGGTAGAACTTCCTAGAAAGAACAT